AAGCTGTTAATATAATAACCTGAATTATCCCAAAATTAAAGGCAACCTATTGAAAACTCCAATACACTGTAGTTAAAAATGAGGGATAAAACCCAAAAAAAGTAATTAATAAACAGCTGAAATTATATTAAAACATAGTGAGGGATATGATGAAATCCCAAAACCTGAAATTTACTAAAACTATATTAAAAATATAGTAAAGAGTATGATGAAATTATTTTGAAGAAGTTTCAGCGAGCATCTTTAACTATAGTATACTCAAAAATTAAGAGAATTTTAAAATTGCCAAGAATGAAAATTCTCTTTATTTAAATAAAAAATAACTTATATGAATTAATCCTACTTCTAAGCTTTGCTTCATCTGTTTAGCCTATATTAATTTAATTCTATATTTAACATAACATAGGTAAATGATAATAAAAAAGAGAAATAAAAAAAAAACATATATAATTATATATTAATATATTATTATATAATATTATAATCTAATTATTTTTTTTATTTATAATAAAATTTATAATTTTATTATAGTATTATAAATTTATATTTTACAATATTTTGAAATACATTTGTTAGTTTTAATTTCTCCTTTAGTATAAAAGTCTTTTTTATTTTCATAACATATTTCATATAGGTCATGGACTAGCAAAATGCCCCTCCGGTAAATTATTGCTTTTTTGAGAAATCAGAATTTAACATTTTATCGTTTTTATTATTTACAGTTTATTTTTAGAACAAAATGCAATATGATGATCAATTTATATGTAATGTGATACAAATTTTTATATTTTATGTCTCCTTAAACATTAAAAATGCATATTATTCCAATTTTAGATTGTCAATCTTTTTTGAAAAAGAAAGTTTTATATGAATATTTCAATAATTTATTATACGTTTATGCTCAAAAAATTAGATTATCATATAGTTAAGCATATTCAGCTTATATAAAATCATAAAAAAATATTTTTGACAAAAGGCTTGAAGGGGCATTTTGCTAGTCCATAGCCCATATAATGAATAAATTTGTTTTAAATATTCTTCTAATGCTTATAAAAGAGTTACCAAATCTTCTTTTTATTTACAATAATAATAAATTGAATAATTTCCTGATTTATGACTTGAATAATATAATATTTTAATTGGTGAATCACAATTAATTATATGTATAAATACTATTTCTAATCATTAGAAAAAATTGTGGATTTCTTTTATAAATCAGTAAAATTTCAAATTGATATTATAGATTATAATATAAAGTTATTGATAACCAGTTTACACAAATAGATTACTCTCACAGTTCACGTTAAATGTGTCACTTTATCAGAATTTGTTTATTTCACTCTAAATCAATATCAAAAAAAAAACAAATTGGACTTTCTTTTGGAATGGTACCTATTAACAAATAATTATTGGATAATCAACAAAGATTTTCTCTTAATTACATTTAGTATTATTTCATTATTTTTGTAGGAATAATCTGTTGTATAACCCTCATTTTTCTTCAAAAAAGCAACATACTTATATAGCATATTCTAGATATCATCATAACTCAAATGAAAATTAATCAGATTCAAAATTACTGAATACTACAGATTTTAAATATGTATTCTATATAAATAGTAGCTTACTTAATATTATTAATATCAATAGCCTCAATAGAACCATTATCAGATTAATTAACTGTATTTATTTAATTAAAATTCTTTATTTATACTTTCAGATTATTCTGTTTTTCTTCATTTCAAGTTCTACAACATTAATATCTTCCTACATTAAACTATAAAATTTTCTAAAAACTATTCTTATAATATAAACTTACTCAAAAACTAATCATTAATCCTCATATATATCAGCAACTTTTAGAACTCCAGCAATCACTTTACTTATTATATATTATATAAACAACCCTTAAATTTTAGAATTTTATACAGATGGTTCTTATATTTTTGATTCTGATAATTTATCTACTAATCTTAGCTTAGCCCTTGCTTTATTAAAAATGATAATTTAAAATTTTCTTTCTTAACAACTATTACTCCTATTTGATCTAATTCATCTCATATCAAAATCATAGCCATTTTATTAGTTATACTTCTGTCTTCTCCTCTTTCTAATACACAGATAGTCTTTCTTCAATTCAAACTTTCAAAAAATCAAAAAACATAATATCTTAAATTACTCTACTTTCCTTTTAAAATCTATATATATGGATTTATTATTTTTTTTAATTGATATCAAACCTTTGCATGTCAAATTCATTAAGATCAAAACACATTTAGAAATTAAATAAAATAAATTTATCGATATTCTAGCTAAATTTACTTTATATAATACACTAATAAAACTAAATTTTGATGATGGTCTCATGCTAGATTCCTTAAAATCTTCTAATTAATAACCTATTAGATTTTTTATAAAAATGATCACGTTAATTTAAGGATTCATTAATTTTTTCTATTTAAAAAAATATTAAATACAAATATTTTTACATTAACTGGCTTTGTATCTTTATTAATCTAAAAGAATAACAAAACTCAAATTCATCAACATTTAAAAACTCAAAATAATATAGCCAAAGAATTAAATATCTAACTGAATAACTTTCCACTATTGAATTTCTAAAATCCATATAAAAACATACTTATAATAGCTTATGGAAATATTGTTATTATGTTCAAGCAAATAAAACTTTTAATCATATTTAGTTATATAATTTAAGTTTGCAAATCATGACAGATATCATTGATAATACTAAAATTTTTTTCTTATATCAACTTATCTTACTTCACTTTATTCTATCAAACTTCTTAACTCACTTTTTAAATATTGATGATCTTTAAACTTTCATCTCTCAAAATAACTTTCTAACTTTTATTGATTTAATATTTAATTAAAGATATTATTCTATCAGATTTTTTTAATATCATATATTATATTACAAATTCATAAAGAATTACTTTTGATATTCTATTAAATACTATTTTTTATCTTTATAATCATACTCATAATAAAATTTGTATTTCTCAATATGAATTGATGATTAAAAAAAATACATTATGTTTTTTATATAAATAGAAAAAATATATGATAGAATTTCCTCTTTCCCAATTCAATTAACATATTAATTTCTCCTCTTTTTTCTTACAACCTATTTTTACAAATTAGATCAATCTAGTTAGACTTTCTATTATATATAGTAGAGATTGGACTTTTTTTGGATCAGTAATAACTAGTCATTTCTTATATTCTAAATTACATTTATTTTTCAAACTTTTTTTCTCATTTAATAAACAGTTATGATAAAACTTATGTTTATACATTTGTTTTTAAACTCAATAAGACAACCGGTTAGTTTGAAGGAATCTGATCTTTTATAGGTTTTTAAATGTCTCTAAATAATAATTTTTTTATAATTAAATTATATAAATAATAGTTTAGTTTTTATACTTTGTATTATTTGATTTCATAAATTTAAAATTAATAAAATTATATTATCGCGTCTAAACAAAAACTGATCTGATTTCAAATTTTAGCTTATTAGAATCAATGCACTAAGAAGAATCAGAATTTAGTATTGTTTTTTTTTTAGTATTTAGCCTACTGAAAAATGATTTCTACTTTTAAATTTTATCAAGTAAGAAGATTTAATATAAATCACTAAATTGTGTAAAATAGATCTTAACAATTATACTTTAAATTTTTAATGAATATTAGCTAGGTTTTGAGATTTAGAATAAATACAAAATCATGTTTTTAATATTTGTAATTGATAAGTTATAAGCTTTTAAAAGTAAGTAACTCTACTTACATTTCTTTTAGAAACCACTGTATGAATAAATTTGTGAGATATACAAGTTTGATATTGTATAATAACAATCTAATAATAGTAAAAATAATAAGAATATACTATTAAAAATAAGAAAAGGAGATAATAATATTAATAATTGAAAAATACTCAATATACAGATTGAAAAAAAAAATTAAATTATCTGTAATAGATTTTCAAATATTGTATTACTATTAAAGATGGTTCTCATAATTATTTTTAAAATTTTTAACTAGTTGCAACTTAAGTTAAGTTGCAACTATTTATGAATTTTTATATTAAAATAAATTTACAAGGAGTTGCAATCAAGTTGCAATTCAAGTTGCAACTTCTTAATTACTGTGCCATCTTTAATCACTATTAATATAGATAAAGTAGAAAATATTAATATAAAATATTCTGATTCTTAAAATATTTCAAATTTTGCAAAAGTATGTAATAATAAACTTTTCTCAAAAATAAATGCAGAATCACAAAAAAACATTTTAATTATTACTTTATAAAAGAAACCAATTATTTGTTAGGTTTTTCAAAAAAATAACTCTATATTAACCTTTTTAAAGATTTTCTGAAATTATTTAATAATTTGGTATTGCATATCAAATTTTAAAATTTCAAAAAAATCACATATTAAATGCTAGTATTTTGCATCTCATAATTTCAAAAAAAAAATTCAATAGTAAATTTTATATGATACCAATATAGTTACATCCCAATGTTACATGTTCGGTAACTGATAAGTCATTTCATTTTCTTTAATATTAGCATTTCTAACAATAATTTTTAATAATTTTTATTTAAATCATTTTTTTGATATAAATTTAATCCAACCAAAAGCTTGCTTCTTAATGGATGGTAAAATATCAATCAAATCTTATTTATATAGCATTTCCTTCCATCATAAAAATTGAATATTATTGTCTAATTTATTATCTGTGTGACATGTTGCATCAAAAGAATGGTAATTAACAATATTTTTGATGGTGAGCAGCATATGATAATTTACCTTCAAATAGCTATATTCTTCAAGTCTAAGAATGATTTTGTTATATTGTAATCATCAATAATCCATCCTGTATAGTACACATAGATAATAGTTATTTCAGCAGCTTAAATAATCAAATGTGGAGTTAATAAGCTTATTGCCACACATAAAGTAATAAAATTTCATCATTCAAAGCTTCCATTTTAAAATTTGTGTTTTTATAACGGATGGAGCTGGTCTTTGAAATTTTCTTTTGAGTTTATTTGTAGAATCATTATCAACAGGACGCTCAACAAAAATGTTGGCGTTGGGAAAGCCTTCGGATATCATTTCTTGGGCATTATTCTTTGCAGCTTCACGATATAGATTTGTACTACCATTAAGATGTGCTCGTTTTACTGAAATCTGTTATAAATAAATTAGTTATTCATGTTTGAAATGAAGAAACTCATCAATATCGTGACAATTGATACCATTCCCCGTTTAAGAATTATTTCTTCCCAATAAGGCTGAATTTTCACGTTGATTTTTTACCTGCCATAGGTAATAATATTATGAAAGAAATTAGTGCGAAGTATTACAATGGCTAAACCACAAAAAAAGAAAAAGAAAAAAAATGTAAGTCGCAATGGAGCCTGGGATGAGAACCGATACTCCTAATCCAGAAGAGAGTGGATTGGAATTCACTATTACAAAATTACAAATACACAATGATTACATAACCTTTTTTTCCAAATCTTTCAAGTTGATTGAATTAGAACAGCTGCGATGTACGAGCCCGGGTAACATCAATATCATGCCAAATTCTGATAATATTCCTGTAAAGAATTAAACTTCAGAGTAGGAGACTAGAACTAGAATATTTGGATAAATAGGATGGGTCCGGTTTTACAATAGATTATCAATGATTACCACGCGTTTTTTACGCGACTATGATAAGAATTTTACATTTGTTTGAACTGCCGGCGTAATTGAAGCAAAAGCCATTATTATTATATGAAAAGTTGGATAATGCAAAAAAAGAAAGTTTTTTTTTGCCTCGAAATTTTTGGTATTACAAATTAAAAGTAATATTATGAAACTATGATATATTGTATAATAATAAAAACATTATTAATACGTTATACCTATCTATTACATAATTTTCAAAATTTCGCGTGCCAAAGATTGCCGATCAGAAACTAGTCGACCAATCATATTCTTTGTTGATTGTTATATCATGAAATTTCACACGATCCAAAACATTTCGAAAAAAATATCTTGGTTTGATACATTACGGTCGTGTAAGGAATATTAAACATAGTACGTAGACAATAACTTTTAGAATTTATTTGGATCTTTGAAGTCAAAAAAAAATTAAGAAAAAGATATTAGCAGATATTTGTATGCCTGATCTTTTTTTTTAGCCAGTCATGACTTACCAAGTTTCAGAAGAAGGTATTAAGATAAATGTATCAGACGAAATCTCTGTATCTCCAGACAATACAACACCTACTACTGATGACGATGGAGTTATAAAGTATTATGACTTACTTGATCTTAAAGATAGTAAGAATATTCTATGGCGCGAAAAACTTGGTGAGGGTATAAAAAAATACCTTAAAGACGTTACAATTCCAAAAGGTAAAAAATTGATAATGATTTCGGTTTCGCGTTGAAAAGTTTTTTTATTAATCAAATAAATGGTTGACTATACAAAAAAAAAAGCAATTTTGATCGATTTTCCGCAAGGATATAAACTTTATGCGCATCGTAAAAAGTATCCTAAAAAAGAAGAACGAACGGATATTTATCTATTTGGTATTATATCTTTCTTTCGATTTGTATATTTATATATATTTAATTTTTTTTTTGGTAATCAAAGTCATAAAATTATTACAGGTCGCCATAGGTTTCGTTCTTCAAATGAATTTTTACCACATCTGATGTGGCTTGTATCAGATAGATCAGGGCAGTGTCGTTGCAAATACTGCGTAACACCAAACTCTACTACTAGTGTAAAACGAAAAGTATACGCTCCCTCCACACGTAAATCTAAGAGGCAAAAAAATGTTGGTGCAACCGACGTAGCACCAAAATCAAAAAGAATAACTCGTTCCAATAGTGCGAAAAAAGGTAATCGGAAACAAGTTGCCGGAAGAACTCCGACTAAAAAGAGAAAATCAGAAGTAGCTCTTGATATTCCTCCTCCTGTTCCCAAATATGCCGTGTTTCGAGAAGGAGAAGCTGTTTGGCTTGCTATTGACAAGGTTCTAAATGATAAAACCTTGGTAGAATGTAACAAAATTCTTCCCTTACATTCACAACTTGAATATTGGCCTGCAATTATTGGGTTAATTACGCCGCCAGATGACAATGAATCCAATGAAGAAGTTATTTATACCGTTAAACCATTGATTCTTCATGAGAATAAAAATGTTACCGTGGATTCACTTCGTCCTTGGCTAATTTATAGTCCCAAAAAATCACCAAGTGGTAAAAGATTCACTAGGTCCTTGTTGAATATCAATCTAGATCAAGCGACTTCAGAACAGATAGTTGAAATCTACCTTAAAGCAGTCCTGAAAGCAAGTGAATTAGTAAAAATATTTGCACCTGTTTATCAGTACGACTATCATAAAGTGAATAAAACCAAGAAAACTAAAGAGAAGCGTGAAGGAAAATATTATAAGGCTATGTATTTTGGTGCGGAACTTATCTATGAAGGTGACTTGGTTAGATTAATGCCTTCTCACAGTGAAGATCAAGGCGAAGAATTATCCTATTTACAAATTACAAGCATCTTTGAAGATTCAAAGCAAGGATTTCATGTTACTGGCGATTTATACGAAAAAAACAAATCATTGGAAAAGGATAAAAGCGAATTGATTCCAAAGAATGATATAGATGAAGAATTTACACTTAATGTATGGGATATTGCCGGCCGATTTTATCCAATGTATCCTGACATCACTGGATCTCTTACTTGTGAACTTATCAAGACAGCTGAATATAGGATGTCCATTTTGGGTGAAGACGATCCGCTTAACATAAAACAGGCAGCTAATGAGACAGATGAGACTGTTGCACCATCGAATGGAACATCTAAAAGAGCGATGAAAGAACGTCTTTCTGTTAAGATTGAAGAAAAAACGAATACCAAAGTTGAAATAAGGATCGGAAACGAAAAAGAGATTACAATTAGACAGACAAATGAAACTCAAGACGCAATCTCTATTGAAAAAGGTGGGTCCCCTGTTAAATTTTCAGATATTGAAAGGAGATATGCCAAAAAATCCGATGATATTGATTTTCCGCCGTTGGTTGTCTCACCGGATACTCCTACATTTGAAACTGATGAAGATAATGGCGGTGATAGTAAATAAAGATTTCAAGAAAATATCAGATCCTAGCGTTATCATAAAGAGGTTGACTGTTTCAACATTAAAGCGGTTGTCTACTATAAGGTGTCGTGTGTTTTTTTTTCTTATTACTTGATTTAAAGGATGTTTTTGCGAAGGAAATCTTTTATGTGGTCAAAGTTTTTATCGCTTTACATATTGTCATTTTACTTGTTAATATCAAATATGGAATAGCATACAATATGTAAAGTTTGAAATTACAATAAAGTTTTATATATATATATATATATATATATACAGAATTTAGAATTTAAAAATAAATTAATAAATCTTAAATCTTAATAAAAAAAATCTTGTAAAATTTAATAAAAAGATATATATACATATATCATTATTGTTAATAATAATTTTACATAAAAAATTTTGTTTTTTAATATAAGTAATATTTTATAAAAATTAAATTAATCATATATTTAATATTATGATAAATTTTAATTAAAAATCAAAAAATTATGTTATTTATTGATTGAAAATTAAATAAAATATATTAATTATATTATTAATAATTAGATTTAAATAATAATATAGATTTTATTATAAATTATTATATATTAAAAAAAATATATAAAACTTTTAAAAAATTTATTAATTAATTTTATAAATATATTATATCATAATAATTTATATTCATCTAAAATAAAAAAAACAATTATATATTACTAGTTATATTAATAAATAAAATCTTATTATTTGTCAATTTAAAATTGAATTAATATATAATTAATCATTTTCATTATATATACTTAATAATAGTTTTAATTTATTTTTTAATTTAATTATTTAAATTCAATATAACTAAAATTTATAAAATTGATAAATCAATCTTTATATATTTAAATATTAAACAAAAAATTTAATTTATTAATAAGATTACTTAGAAGTTAAATATTTTATTAAATTTTTATTATTATAATTTTATAATTTATTATTAATTTTATAATTTTTATTAATAAAAAATTGCTTTAATTAGTATATAGATATATGAATTTTAAAAAAATTTTATAATAAATTTTTTAAAAATTAAGCTTTTATATAAAAAAAAAAAAAGAATTTAAAATAAATAATAATTTTTATAATTAAAAATATATATAATAATTATAATAAAAATAAAAAAAATATATAAATATATTAAATTTAATAAAATCTAATTTTATAAAATAAAATATATATAGTCAGAACTTGATAAAATAAATCTTTTGGTTTACAGTTTTCAGTGAAAGAATAGTGAATATCAGTGTATAAAATCTAAGTTAAAATTTATATGCACAAGTTGATTAATTATTACTAAAATAAGAAAATCATAACATTTTCTTATGTAAAATTACCTTTTTTGTACATAATTTATCTATTTTTAGTAATAATTTGTGCACATTTTATGTTATATAATATGTGCATACAAAAAATTAATATGCATATGTGTACATTGTGCACATAGATTTTACACACTGATGAATATAGTTTAATAATATCTAAGTAAAGTTTAAGCTTCTTAGCTCTAAAAATTTATTCAATATGTTCTATATTTTCATCCTGATAAGTGAAATAAACACTTAATTCACAAGTTACCAGAAATGGAAAGAAAATGCATAATGTAGATTGGGACAATTTTACGAAATTAATTATAAAAAAATCAATAAATGAAAGTAGTTATGTTATACTAATACCTGATTTAATCAGAAAACGTCCCAAACTTGCATAATAAAAAACGTCACTTAAAACCAAAACTATTTTTCATTATTAATACGTAACATACGCTTTATTTGATAAATTTCACACAAATGCCTTTTCAGCTCAGGATTATGGGTACTAACTATTCATTTGAAATAATTCAAAAGAGAAAAAAAATTATTCAAACCTATTTAAATTGTTCTAAATAAGGATATTGTTCATATTTTTTACATTATTATTTGTGATTTTTTTTGCCATTGCTTATTTGTGTTGGCGAAAATATCAGTTAATCCAATTTTTGATTGTTTTCAACTTTGGTATGTCATTCTCCTCCAACTCATCTATTTCTACTTTTTTTTGTAATACTTTAAGCATTTCTTTTGCTAAATATCGTTCACTTTTTATAG